CCTTGGAAAACGAATAGAAAGTGTTCTGGTTTTAAAAAGTTAATAAAATCTGCCTGACAGCATAAATGTTAACCTTCCGGGAAAGGCCACATCATCTGTGTGAAACCCTGTCTGCTCTGACCCCGCAGGTGACAGAGGCCCTGTCAGGGCAAGGAGATCACGGCTATAGGGTGACCTGCCCTGACATTCCTTGCCAAGCAATGGCACTGCTACACGTGTGAGAAAATGACACCAGGTTTAACTGCGAAAGGAGGGGGAACAGAGCTGTGTCAAGACCCAGTAGACGTTTCCTCTCGTGCTGTGCCCTGGTCTCGCAACACAGAGTGCAACGTTCTCAAACACGCTTCAAAATCTCTTGCCAGCAGGGCTGCCTCGGTAGCAGGTTCACCAGCAGGAGATTATAGATGTGGGACAACTGTGGGTTTGAGTGGATACATAAAGCTCAGGTGCTACAGTAACCACAGCCATCAGGGTAATATACAGTCTAGTTTTGATCAGGTGAACCACTACCAAGTGCGGGCTGATGTTTCCCTGGAACCTCCCCCTAGCTGGGCCATCGGCCACTTTCCTCACTATAATCGGCTTTCCAGAGGTCTAGCGTACGCTGACATAGTGGAGATGTATGTGTATGTATAATAAATGTATGCAACATGATTTCTGATTTTTTCTAAATTTTGATTTTTTAATATTTTTTCCTAGAATCTGATGTTGATTCCAGCTCACTGCTGTTGTAAAGCTTCTAATTTAATAGAGTAAAGGGTTTTGCCATTAAAAATTTGCAAAGAGCAGATACTGCCATTTAACCATGCAGCAGTGTTGTAAGCACACATTGAGCCATTTTGAGTTAGTTTGTGCACCCCACACACGATACTCTGCCTAGCACCACAGCCCTGGACCTCACACCGTGAGTCAACAACTGCACTCCTCAGGGTTTATTAATACCACCTCGGAAAGTGAGAGGGTGCTCTGGCTCTATTGAGGGCTCTTTATAATTGTTCCAAGTACTTCAGATCCAGGAATCAACCTTCAGAGCCTTTTCTGTGTGTGACAGTCATCCTGGTGACACTCAAGTAGCATGCTGCTGAAGGACAGCCGGGGCACATCTATATTTGTTCCATTGCTCATTGCTGGCATGTCCCTATCTGAGCAAAGAGGCGGGCTAGGGTTACGGCAATAAGTCTTCCAACTGCAGTCACGGAAAAGTGGCAGGGAATAGCTTTCATGTGAATTAATTTTTACTAGGGGAAATAAACATGAAGTTTGATGCCATCTGAACTATCAGAAGAATTTATGACGTCATAAGATAGAAGGCAAGTTTTTAGGTAGTAACATTCTTTGTTATGTATTTTCGATAACTGATGGTCACGGACTTGAACATTCTTCAGTGTAATTGTATCTGTGCCTGTAAACTGAGCAAACACTGAGCAATCATCTGAAAATCTTATTTAGGCAGCAGGGTTCCAGACGAGCTTAATTATGCTCATTTTAATTTATGTAATTCAATTCCATTTTGGTAGGAAAAATACTTGTTAATTCACTTTTCTAGCTAGTAGTAGCTTCTAAAGCAAGCCTTATTGTCATAATTATGGGGAAAAAAGTCTTTGCGGGAGCCAGACAACATTTTCTGGTATGTGTCAAGACCTTTTCTCTGTTTAATATGTTAGAATTTGCATGATTTATTTTATTGCCTTTAGCATAAATAGTATTTCTGACTAACTTCAGTGTTTTTGTCTATGGTGAGATATTGCTAGCTGTAGAATCCACACCCATGTCTGAGTGGGAGAAGAACCATGAACTTGTATGTGTGTTTACTTACAGATCCAGTAGGCTGGACTGGTTTCAGTCATTGGTATAAAACCAGAGAGTGGCAACTTTCTTAGCATTTTTCACTGGTCTGAGAAGTTGGTTTCCAGTAAGTATGTTGATTTTGTTACCAAAGTGCTCCTCAGAAACAGTAGTAAAATATTGATTAAATATATTTGAGGTGATAGCAAGTACTTGCGAAGACCGTAAAAAGTAGTTTGAAAGCCAAGCTTATAGGAAAGCTTCTGCAGAAGCTCTGATAACCTTGATGTCTGAAGAAAATGGTTTTAAAGCTTTCATATGCTTCCATTAGCTATGACTATATGTAAATACAGGTTCATTACTATTCAGCTGAAATCTTCCTTTGATTCTGGCAGTAAATTGCTGACAAAATGGACCTGAGTAGTTCTGTAGCCCTGATTTTGTTTGTGCTGGTGAACAGTGGAGGGCTGTGGGGACGTTTCAGCTCTGACAGAGCACTGTCTCTGCACTAACACTACTTCATGTGCCATGGTTAATAGAGGCTAGTGGGAAAGAATGGACTTGGGGAGTCAGCCTTCAAACTGCCTTTGCATCTTTAATGTCCCGTGTGCACCTGCTTTATCACACCGCTTTGCATTTCACATCTAATATTCTTTTCACACCTCCCTCATTGCACAGAATGGACAAAGTGTGCAAGCTCCAGGTCAGAGCAGACTTTTTCAATTCAGGGGTCAATGACCTGCCTAGCTTCCAGGTTACTGTGTGCTTTGTCATGGATATCATAATCAGTCTTTTTTTCTGAGCTTTACTAATGTTAAAATATACACTTTCACAGCACCTGAGAACCTCCAAAGGGCAGTATTTTCCCTGTTTTATAGAAGGGACCTGAGACCTGGGCTGAGAATAATGTTAAAAGAAACCTCAAGTTTCAGTATCAAGAATGGCAACTTGAAAAATCCAGAACACGAGTTTTCAAGGCATTTACTAGAGTGTTATGTGGCATCAGTGGTCACAAGAGAGGGCATCCTACAGTATGCCTGACTGACAGTTCAGAAAGAGCACTTGACTGCAACTGAAGGGTGAGCAGACTTCAAACCAGGCCATCTCCAGTCGGACAGAACTATGTGTGCCTGAAGTCCCGTTGCAGTGTTGAGCTGAGGACAGGACTGCTCCACAGTTTGGAAATCAGTTGTCGCAGTCACAGATGAGCCACTCAGAAAACTTAAGGTGTACATAAGAGATAGCTCTCTGCTGTTCTTTGCTTGGAGGTTAGAAGAAACAAGCTGTCTGTGGCTTCACTTTGGAAGCAAAGCTTTGGTCTTTCCCATGCCCACCTCCAGGCCCTGAGCAATCCTCAGCCAAACTGATTAAATCTATATATTTTTAAGCAAGAAAAACTCATGCTTGACACCTAAGTACGTATCTAAGGATCTTTCTTACCTTTTACAGGATTGAGACTTGTCATCTCAAAAACCTCACTGAGGATACTGATGTCATCCAGATCTGGCAGTGCAAAAGACTGTGAAACTAGTGACCAGACACCAAGTCGTTCAGCTTCCTCACCAGTCCCAGAATCTAGTGACACTGAGGCTGAAGGATTGATATTTTATCATATGGATCTTTATGGATCAAAGGAGAGGTTTGATATCTTTCCTGAAGAGCCATCTTGTCAAGAAGAGAGATCTCTGGGGGATACGAGAAGGGAATCTGCAGAATCTGCATCCAGTAGTGAAAAATTTCAGCATTCACAAGAAGCTGGATATGACTTGGAAAAGGAGGTTGCAGAGTTGGCTAAGATGTATGGACTTGATGAGGATAGAGAAAAAGAACTTGAGCTTCTTGGAAGACATGTGGAGAGCAGATGGCCACCTGCTCGCACAGAAAAAGCAGGATCACAAGGCTCTGTATATACAGCATCAAAAAGCAGCTCTCCGGTGAAAGATCAAAGTCAAAGCACAAAGAAACAGGGACTTCCTAGTGAGGCTTCTCAAGATGAAGATCAGAGCAAAGCCAGAGCAGAAGATGAGGCTGAGAGCCCCATATGGTCCAAAGAGGGGCTTAGCAGCGGCAGTGTGTCGGATGAGTGGAACAGTCAGGCCGTCAGTGAGGAGGAGGAAGCGGCGGATGTTTTTTGTTGTACCTGCAAGACACCAATCCGAGCTTTCGACAAACTGTTTGGTGAGCACAAGGATCATGAGGTGGCTCAGCTCCCCAGTGCCGTGGAAAGTGAAAAGGTAAGAGTCATACAACCGTACTACAGTGCCTCTGAAACAGTGTTCAGGCATACTAAGAATCACACTGGGTGTTTTGGTAGGAGGAGACTCATAAAAACATGTGCAAGTTGGAAGAGCAGATTGCTCAGCTGGAAAACTTTGCCAGTCACTTGGAGGAAATCTTCATCACTGTAGAGGTAAGGCATTTTTTCTTGGGCTAACTTTGTGGTACCGGGGTTAGAAGAGTTTTGACAGCCATAGTGTTCAGTTGTTAACAAGGTGAGTAATTACAGTAACAGAGCAGAGAGTTATCTTGGGGTTTGCCTCATGAAAATTCATCCTAAAGAGTTTTCTAGGTGGGCAAGTAAAACCACATTAAGCATTTGCAGTGACACTTCCATTCCAAAATAAAGTGATCCCACTCGGGTTATCTTAGTTTTAAATGGCCAAGGACCTGTGATCTACCTGCTTCTTAAATCTTCCTTCCTAATGCTTCCCTCCTAATGCTCACTCCTCCAGCAACGAGTGAGGGTACCAGCATGAGCTGCTTAGCTCCCCCAGTGTGAATCCATGGATCCCACTGGGCTGCCATGGTTTCTCTTATGGAAGCTTGATTGTGTTGGTGAAAACACTTTGGAGGTTACGGCTAAGATATATCCCTAGCTGTGCTCCCTGGGCTTAGGTTGGAGATAGTTGCCTTGCATCATTGTTTTTATTATAATTTCTGATGCTCGTATGTCCAGAACCAAATCCAACACTCTCTTGTGCCTCAGTGTAGGTGAATGATTAGCATAAATCCCTAAAAATGGAAATTAATCGAATTACAGCCTCTGTCTACTGGCATTGCCTCACTGGCAACGCAAATTTTAGGCAGAGCCAAATAAGAATTTTCTGTCTGACCTATGGATCAGGCCTGACATCAAGGAGTAAACCGCCAAATGCATTGCAGGAAAACTTTGGGAGGCAGGAGCAGAACTTTGAGGTGCATTACAACGATGCCGTGCAAGTGCTTGCTCAGAAGTACGAAGAACAGCTGGAAGCACTGGGGGAAGAGAAGAGACAGAAGCTGGAAACTTTGTATGGGCAGCTGGTCAGTTGTGGGGAACACCTGGACACCTGCAAGGAGCTGACAGACACAACCCAGGAGCTCTGCCGGGAAAATGACAAAGCCAATTTCATGAAGGTAAAGAGCTTTAACTGGCAAGGCCCCATCTAAGTGCTCTTTGTGAGTGGATTTATTGCTACACAGCATTTGGAGTTCTCAATCCATGGTGCTCTCACTGCCTCAGGTGCTTGGCACGGTGGCAGTGACTTAGCGGGGCAACATAATGGGGCCAAAATGCAGAAGCAAGAGCACAAGTTTGTAACTTGGATGCTTAATGATTTGTGAGTCTCACTGGGGTTCAGAGAGGAGATATCTCTCTAAAAAACTTATCTTGGGAAACTCTGGAAGCACTTAGTGTTCACTGCCTCATGCAGGCTCAGCTTGCTTGCGGTATTCTGGGCTCACAGCAGGCAGGCTGATGCAACCATTTTGGAAGATGTTTCTTTTTCTTGCTTATTTTGTTGGAAAATTCAGCTGAACAGGAGGCTCCAAACTAATTATACCAGGAGCTCCTGCAAAGTGATGGATGAATTCCACTGTTAAGGAGGTGTCAAGAAGTTACTTTTCTTTAGCAGCTAAAAAAATAATTGTTCTAATCTGAGCTGTCCTGTGACTCAGGTGGATGGGAGCATTCCTGTAGCCACTGTAACTTCTGAACTGGGCAGTAAACAGATCTCCTAACACCTCCAGTCTACTTCAATGGATTAGCTTGTTGTACCACTCCAACCTGCCGAGTTCTTCACATGAGCTGACTTTTCCCATTCCTCTGTGTCTCTGGAATAACCTTATTTTCTCCTTAGCTCGTAAACAGTTCTACATCACTCCTAGGAACCCAAGAAGAGCTCTCAGCTGCTTAGGTTTCTCCAGGGATTGCACGCCTGTCTTCCAGGAACGTGCACTGCTCAGACTCCCTCCAAGGCAGTTCTTTTCCCCAGCTGTTGCTGTTTTTTGTTTGTGAAGGATCTCTTGGCACTTTGGACAATGGATGAAGGATACAGTCCAGAGTCTAGATGCGTAGGCACTGGTCACTGCCTGATGTTGCACGTTATCTTACTACAAATTCAGCCAAGATGTGTCCATTTAAATGCACTGTTAGTCACGCCTTTGTTCTCAGACCTGGGTGAAAGCCAACAGGTTCACTTTAAGGGCTGCATTTGTGACAATTCACATAAGACAGGTCAGCAGCATGATGTAGTCTGACTGCACTAATGCAAGAAGTGTATCTTTTCTGTCTTTAACACTCTCTCTTTTTTTTTTCTACAGGCAGCAGTAACCATGGTTGACAGGTAGTATCACAGTCTGGGATTTTGTGCCACATTTCTTCCTTTTGTTCCAACCTGTTGTTGGAGACGCTTGCATGTTCTGGACTCTGTTCAGGCCCATGGATGTTACCTAAGCTATTAGAGCTATTGAAATCTTCAGTATTTCTGGTTTAAACTGCAGCAGAAGAGTTGCTCTGTGAAGTTTAGCACTCAAAACTAGATTTAAGCCAGTTTCAAAAAACCCAAAAGGAGTTAGAACATGAATAAATCACTGTTTTCAGCTTAGTCATAAGGAACTAATTTCAGTGACTGAGAAACAGGATTGGTAAAGATCTTGAAAGAAATGCCCTGGATACAAATCTCACTAAAACTGAGCTCCCTAAATGGATTAGTAACAGGCTTATTTATGGACTAACATAGAAGTGTAGAAAGTCAAGCTGTGGGAGCTCAAAACAGATACCAAAGAGCTAGGAGCGGTTGGAAGAAGTCTAAAGGCACACTAAATCAATTGCAAAAATATATTTTTAAATCTACTGTCATCATTTATGAAAACACAGCTAAAAAATACCCCTTTGTTTCACATTTACAACACCTAGAACCATGAGGTCCTGAAACAGTAATAGCACTATAAATTCAAAATAATGCAAGTTTGCTTCCCACAGAGGGAGAAAACTTACTCACCTGCCCTGTGGGCGTGCAGCGTGCGGCAGCCAGCTCGCTGCATAAGCAGGGCATGCAAGGTGTCGTCCCTCAGTCCCATCAGCATCCAGCTCTGTTGGGTATCTTGGAGCCCCGGCGGGATGTATGGCTGGCTACTCCCAAGCAAAGGGCATGGGAGGCCTGAGCTTTGTACAGTGCTTTAAGGAAAGAGCTGTTATTCTGGAGTTTGTTGTTCTTTTCCTCTTACCAATGAGTATCATGAAAAAGAATCTCTGACACTGCGGTATTTCCAATTAGACATTTTTTTTCCCCTACAATTACAGACTGGGAGAATTCTTAAAGAAAGAAGTGAATTTAGAGCTTTCAACACTGCCAGACTTTGAAGAGCGGCACATAGATTTCTCTGAAGTTGAACAGCTAATGAACTCCATTAATACTATTCCAGGTACTCTGCTATCTGATCATTATTTCAGGCCTATTTACATTTAATTAGGGATATGCATTAAAGAGAAGTCTATTACTTCTTTTAAAGGAGAACTGCAAAGACAGAATTACCTTCTAGTTTTCCCTCTAGATTTTCTTGTTTGCCTATATATACAGAGACACTGGAAGCTATTTTTTGGTTTTTTCTTTTTTTCATTTGCTTTCAGTATAAAATTATCAGAACTTCCAAGTTTGGCCTTCTCTGCTTTTGCTGGATGATTTCCTAGAAGACTCAAAAAGCCTAACCCCTTCTGTTGAGGGGTCAGGCATGCTTAGTGATAACTTCTCTGGCCTTGTAGTGGCTTGAAGAAAGTACAGAGGGACACCAGACTGCTTTAAACAACCAGCACAGCTCCCCTCAATAACCAGATTTCACTGGCTAGTTCCTCTGCTGTTTAGCCAAAATTTTCCTTATTATCCACAGGAAATGAAGCAAAATACAAACAAATTTCTAATAATGAAAAAAAAATTAACATAGAAAAGATTTCAAATCTTTTCTGGCACACCACAAATAGCTAGAAGGAACACCATGCTTTTTTTATTTTTATGCCCACACATCGTGTTTTCTTAAAGTAAAATAGCATTTGCTACTTGTTTGCTTGTGTTGCTGACCCCACGTTGTACAGTTTTTCCCTTGCTTTTCCTCCAAAGGCTCCCCAGCCCCTGGGCTGGTCTGCAGCAGAGCCCTGCGTGTCAGATGTTCATACACCAGTGACCTGATTATTATCCGCAACTGTTTACAGGGTCAGCTCCTAACTCTTCTCCCTTTAGGAGGAATATGAGCCTATCCGATGCCTAGGGTTTGTGGAAACATCTTTGTGAGAGGAGGGAAGCTTGCCTGTGAACAACATACCATGCTTACACAGTCAAAAACTGACCTGTTTTCCCCCCTGCAGCTCCTTGTGCCCCTGTGATCAGTCCCCAGGCTCCCAATGCAGCGACGGGCACCTCACTGAGAGTCTGCTGGGGCCTCTTCTCAGATGACACCGTCGAGTACTACCAGCTGTGCTATAAACCAGTGAGCAATGAGAGGCACAGTGATGAACAAGCAGGTAAGGAGGCCTGGATCCAAGGGACACCTCAGCCCTGCACTGGCAAAAGCAGCTCGTTCCAAAGTACCTCTGGACTTGCTATGGCAATGAGTGCACTTTCTGTGCAGTCCCTCTGCCACCAAAACTGCCAGATGTGCCACCACATTTCTTGCTTCTGGCTTTGTCACCCTTCCCCTGTCACGTCTGCCATGCCAGCAATTGCAGAAGGAACCATCACAGGAGCAAAGACAGGATGGGGCAGCAGCTGGGATAGCAGCAGTGGGAAGGAGACAGTGGATGGAGTCAGGTTGCAAGAGCAGCATTTCCTTTCCTGGAAGGCAGGTACTGCTGCAAAGCACAGCATTTTTAAGAGAGAAAATCATCATATTATAAGCTCAACCACCAAAACACCCACAGTCATCTCACAGTTTATCTCAGTGCTAATAATAGGCTGTAATGCACCAACACACACACACAGAACCATCCTAAAATGTCCCTGCCTTTTCTAACAAATACTCCAGCAAAACCTTTTGCTGAAAACACCCAGTCACTTCTCCAGAAAAAGCAGAAGCCAGGAGAGCACCAAATAGCCAGTTCAGAAAGAAAAGCAGAACCTATTCAAATGTTATAAGATGGAGAATAAGAAATGAGTAGTGAAATAGCTTCAGCTCTTGTCTCACTGCTGGGATGAGCCGACCACACAGCATGCCTGGAGTGGCAACATGCAGGATCGTTTTAGAAAAAAATCAGTGAAACATAGGTGACCTTTCTTTTTGATTTTTGTCTTTTTTTTCTGAGTGATGTGGATCCTTCAGAAGCTGATGCATTATTGGATTTATGCCTCCTTAGTGGTATAACAGCGTGACAGCTAATCAAAGGGTATGCAGCACAAGGAGCTCTCTTCAGCTCAGCACACAAAACAATACACCTTAGCTCCGTTATTTGAGGCAGCTTTGGGCAAGAGTGGGTAACTATGTAAAGCCGCTGCTTTGCTGTTTTCATTTCAGAGCATACATTGAAAGTCAAAGAAACATACTGCACCATTAGTAATCTGTTGCCGAATACACAATATGAATTTTGGGCCAGTGCTTTAAATGCCTCTGGTATCAGTCCACCAAGTGAAAGAGAGGTTTATGTAACAGGTAAAAATATTTTATTCATATGACTATGTGACCTTCATAGTGAAACTCACAGTCGTTTCTGAATTTTATGCCAGTAAGGCTTTCTGGGAACTTTGTTTCTTCTGATGTAAGTCTACTGACTGCATGGGAATGTTCTGCTTTTATTTGGAGAGCATCTCAGGCCAATTGTCCCTGTTTCAGAGTTGAAGAAACAGAAGCACAGAGACAAAATAATTTATTTAAATGCAAGCACCTAGAAAAGCTGGGTATAAGGCTCAAGTCTGCCCATTCTGCCAGGTGTTTGCGAGTCCTCCTTTTATTGGCCTCTAAGTATTTTGTGCATTTACCTGCTATGCTGCACTTTGTAAGTGCAGTTCCATCAAGCACGTTTTGTGAAACCCTGACATCAAATTGAGCAAGTCAGAGTGAGACCTTCAAGCACTTGTTCCAGATGTCTTTAACATCTTGGAGCAGAGAAGATATGCACCTTTATGACAAAGATAAAACCAATGACAGAAAGAAAAGGGTTGTGTAACCAGTCTCTATCTATGTTACCTCTCTGATTAATTCTCTTGGGATGTTGACAGTCCAAATTAAGTCTTTGAATAGTACTGTTAATTGCCCTGCCGGCTGTTTATTGTCCATTGGGGAAACTACATAGTATCAGTAAACAACTTTGTTCTATTTTTTCAAGTCTTCAAAGCATGTTTGTTGCAAGCATCTTCAAGCAACAGTTTATAATTGTTCTTTTGCCTACTTTTTAGCTCCTTCACCACCTATCATAAAGACTAAAAAGATCCTAAGCTGTGAAAACGCAGCACTGGTGTGCTGGGAATCTGGAGACATTAACCCTGTTGATTCCTACATGGTTGAATTGTCCAAGCTGACAGATGAAGAAAATGGAGATACTGTTACTGAGTGAGTCACTATTCTATCTAGTCCTTGACCTGTAAAGATTAAATGGTTTCAAGTCATATGGCTTCAGATAGCACTAAGAAAGGACCCATGACCTTTTGGTGAAATCACCTTCATAAACATTCCTCTTGGTAAAATGAATTGTGTAGATGTTAATAAAAAATGGCTACACAGGGTATGGGAAAAAAGGCAGAAGCAAATGCAAAAATCTGCGGAGTCTGTCACAGATTATCCCTTGCCCCTGCTACTGACAGCTGTACAAGGTAAAGTGGTGTTGGTGGGTTACAAGAGAAGCTGATCATGTAATTTCTTCTTTGTTGTTCAGAAAAGTAATCTCAAAGGCCTGCCTTTGTTCTCTATCCTATCATTTTCCATGGATTTATTTTCTGTAGATCTATTGTCGGGATTCCTAACTGTGAAGTCCTAATTCACCTCCAGCCAAGACAAAGCTATCACATCTGTGTTAGAGCCCTAAACCTGGGTGGTTCCAGTGAAAGAAGTGAACCTGTCCTGATACACACCACAGGTACTGTACAGCTCAGAACAACTCCAGCAGCCTGTTGTAGCATCTATTATCTCAACAGAAAGATTCCTGCCAGTTTCAATGGCCTCTGGATCAGGTCCTAATCTCTTACATCTAATTACACACCTGGTAACATTTTAGGAATGAAAAAACCCCACGTTTTTGTATCAATAAGTACATTGCTTTAGCTCTGTAATTTAAAATTATTTCTGTCCGGTACATTTAATACTTGAAGGTTACTAATTTCCAAACATTTTAAAAGACAACATCAACCCAATGTCCCCAGATGTTGCCAGATTGCCAACTACTGACACACCAATGAAGAAAGCTGCAGTGTGATTCTACTTCAGAGATTACCTTGTAATGCTGCTGTTGCTGGAAAGCATGGCTGAGACAGGCAGCCAGCACTTTCCAGAGCCATTTGGATATGCAAAATCTTCCTCTGTATATATTAGAACATTTCCAGCTTGGCTAGGGAAGCTCTGAGGGCTGGTTCCCTTTATTTATCAGGAAAAAGGCAGTCCAGCTTTCAGCTGGAAGCTTTGCTTTATCATCTCTGATCACAGTGCCACACTGGGCAAGGATGAACCTTCTCCCCGAAGGGGAAGTTAGAAGCCCTTTCTCCTCCCAACCATCTAATCAAAGCTCATTTTAATGAGTTACTGGTGGACACCTGTTTTCACCTTCACCACTGCTATAATGACACTGTAACTTCACTGGGGTATCTCAAACCTTCTGCATCACTTGCAGATGTATTCACACCATACCCGTGTCTCTTCTGCCCTCACCTTCTGTGAGAGCTTGGCAAACTGTGCTTATTCAGCAAGCTGACCACACACCTGTTAATCTCCGAAAGGCTGCGTTTCAATAAGAAACCCATCTGCTACGCATCAGTGACACCACAGAAAAGTAATAGTCATTCTTGAATCCCTGGAGAGGAAGACTGTCATTGTGTTAACACTGTTTGCGCGTATTTCAGCTGCTTAAATCAAACTCAATATTTGAAATTGCCAATTCTGCTTGCACAGCATGTGTTTGTTTTCAGTAGCACATGCCTATAATTGCCCTGTCATTGCTTGTATTGTATTTGCATTGAAGGAACTTGCAGTTTGATTATGATGATTTCATTTGGGATTAGCATGGAGAGATTTGTCTTCTCTGAGTCTACATTATGCAAACAGCTGGTGCAAATTGATCTGTCAGCTGCAAGCGCTCACCTCCAACACTGGGAACGACCTTTGATTCTTACTGGGACGGATACACAAACAGCAGCTGACGCACGTGGCTGCTCATCAGAGCAGTGTGTCAGACCTGCTTTGTGAAGTCTCCGAAGGGAGAGAGGCAGAAGTACTTTTACGGGCACGGACTCACCTCTCTGAGGTCTGATGTTGATGAGGAGATGCTGAAGCATGAGGGATGCTCCATGTGGCACCTTTGCAGAGATCCCATCTCTTCAAATTGTGGCCAGCATTTGCGTGGAAAAGTGAGGTCATGGAGAGCCCTTTAAGGCTCCCTTCTCCTTTCAGCGATTGAAAATACACCACTTCAGCTTTGAGGAAGATGACTTAAAACCAGACAGCCCATTGCAGGGAAGATCCCTCATCTTTGAATGGGTACTTCCTGAGCAATGCCTGCAACTCTGAGCGCTGGCTGGGTTCAAAATTAGGTTAAGGCCCCTTTTCTGCTCTTCACAATTCAAAAATCAAACAGTGTTAAGGTGTAAAACACCCATTTATTTGAAAAACTCCAGACGGACAACCTTGTCCTCTAAATGTCCGCTAGATTCTTCCTAGAGCACTGGTTATTCTTTCTAAGGATCCAAACAGCATTACACCACACCCCTGCTGCAAACCCTAATGCCATAAGGAGTTGCTGGGGTTACCCTCCAGCATTCTCTTTTGCAGGCACCTACTTCTGCCTTAATGAGGACACAGCCCACCCTTTACTGGCGATTCTAGATGATGGATTTACAATTGCATGTGATCAACTGGAAAACCCAGAGTGTGATCTGCCCGTTTACGATAACAGCTTTACAAGGTATGTGGAAGAATTTCAGCTGCAACTAACGCAGGTGATTTGTCTGTGCTTTGCCCAGGATGCACCCCTACCTTGAACTCAAATCCACTACAAAAGTTTACTGGTATTGTGGCTCTCCCCACCTCCAACCATAAGTGACTGTGTTGTTAAACAACTGCAACCATCTTTGCTGGCCCTTTTAAAATACGGGTTGCTTATCTTTTAGAAAAGCAGATTTATTTTAATGTATTTCAGGTTGGGCTCCTAGGGTATCTATTCAGTTTGAAATGGTAGGCTTTCCCCATAGCTCCTTGGAGACTAAAACTCTGTATCCATTTATCCAGGTCCCAAAGTTTCACGAGGGTTAATGTTCCCGAGCACCATTACTCAACTCCCTGTGGCTTGCTGCTCTTTTCTGAGATTTTCCGGAGTGACTAATACATAAAACATCTCCCTTTGCATGATGTGTGCATCAACTTTCATTAATCCCAAAACTTCCTTCCCATTTAATTCTTTACAGAGCCCTCAAAACATGAGGAAAGTGTCACAAGAAAAAAAAAATAATCAAACCCAATATACTCTTAATATAGCACTTAATATAGTGGGATTTAAAAAAAGACAAACTGCATAATTATTAGGTTCTCTTTTAATTACAGTGATCCAGCAGTTACACATTTCCAAGCCTTGAGGAGCTGCTTCTCTCTTTTGGCTGCTGCTCCCCTTCTCTTGGCCCTCTGCAAGCCACCAAGACGACAGAGCCTTGCACGTAACGTGCAGGAGTCTGCCCGTCTTTCCTTGGTCTTGGCTTCACATGTGGGGATTTGGGTTCTGTCCAAAAACACCACTCATCTTACACAAAATTTGTTCACTACAGCAACTACTACAGAATGGACAAAAAACCTAATGGTACTTTGGGCATCTGACCCTCTTCTTTGAAAGACGCTTGTGTAGTTCAAGCACAGTTGGTCTTTTTTTTCTTTTTTTTTTTTCTTTTTTTTTTAAATATAGATACCAGGAAGTATTTAATGGTGCTTCCAGCAGCTCTCATTGAGTTTTTTAAGTTTAAATCCCTCTCCCTCTAGCTGCTCTGTGGAATTTAAGCATCGCTTGGAAGTTCATGCAAGTTCATAAAAAGGTTTCTAGATGCACCTAGCCACAATCACGTACACACTGAGCACACTGAGCTACATTCGAACAGGTATTTAAGTGCCAAAACAAGGAAAAGGGGAGGGGTCTGAATACTTACCTCTTGCTGGAAGATCTAGCTGATACTACTTGGGCCTACGGAACTTACGTTCAAAAAAGAACTGGCCTTTTGCCATTGAATGAGACTTGGCTTGCCTAAATTCATGTTTCCAGTCAGAACCACGGAAACAACGGATAAGCAGGACAGGCATCTGTAGGCACAGAGTAATACAAGCCCACAACTTAGTCCCTCCATGGAAGTGCAATGTTACTAGACAGCTCGGTAGAAAAGAGCTAAGAGATAGACGGTTTTCTTCATTAAAGTCATCATGATAAGCCTAAATGGGATTTCAGCCCACTTCCACAGGGTGCTTTTATGTTTCACATAAAAAGCCAGAGCTGGCACTTATCTAATTCTGAACTCTGAGGCTGAGGTTTTGATGCCACTGTGAACTTTCAGAAGGCTCTTTCATGCCAAGATAATGTGAAGAAAAAAAAGAAAAAGCCACCAAGCTGAAATGACTAACACTCACACTACAAGAAAATTACACCGCAAACTCTTCTTTTTGAAGTTTCTATGTTCTCCAAAAGTCTAATGTGTTTCCTAACCATAGCAGCTCCTACTGTCTGACTCGAGTTTGCCTTGGTGGCTTTGCAACTCTCATTACTGTGCTAATATTTAGTTCACAGATGTTTGCCCATCCATTTTGCATCACTCCTTAAGCTGTAGCAACACAGCTTCTCTGAGTCCCGATTTCAGCAGCCTTTAAGCTATTCCCAAGACATTTGCATGCACTTTCAATGAACTGTATGTTTGCTTTAAGGGGTTGCTGCTGAGGTGGCAGAGTACAGCTGTCACGCTGTGCGTGCCCATCCTTACGCATCAGGCCCTCCGAATGCTGAGTGCAGCTCTTTCTCAGCATTACCTAGAGGCAGACAAGCTCAGTGTCTGCCAGCAGCATCCTTTGCCTTTGCAATTTACAACTTTAGATGACTCTGTCACAGAAACCCACCCGTTGTGCATTACTCCCTATCCAAAACTGAAGGTGTGTTTTGAAACCTGCTGTGCCCTGGGATGCAGCAACGACAACTAACACACCATGTACTTTTCCTGGAAAAAAAAATGGGATATAGTCTCACAGGACTCATGTTGCCCTCTTAAATTAAGTTAGGGTCTTTCAGAAGCATTTGGTACAGGCTATTTTGCCCAGCTTTCTTGCTTCAGAAGCTATGTTTTTGTAGACTTGCATCTTCACAGTGACCATCCCCTCTGACTCAGACTGTGCCTATAAGTCAAGCTGAAGGGTCTCTCTGTGGTATATTCTTTGTCTGTCTCTCCTACACATCTTTTTAAAGAGTTATCTTCTGCATGGCTCCTATCATAAAGGCTATGAATCGCAGTCTACTGTTAAAACTTTTCACGGCCTAGGTACCTCAGCATATTCCAAGCTTTCCTACTGTGTTCAATTCTGGTTTGGAGACAAACACAGCGTAGGCAGGGCTGCTCCCCAACTGCCCCTGAGTTTCATGCTGTTACAGAGCTCAAATCCTGATGGTGAGTGACATTTAAAGCCCTGGGCTGTTTGAGGAGAAAATACAAAATCTGTAGCCTTTTTCCCTTGCTATACTGGGACTCACCAGAGCACTCTTTTTTTTTTTTTTTTTAAGAAAGTAATAACTTTCCCAGAAAATCCATGCAGCATAGGATGCTGTTCTCCCTATTCCTCAAAGTGCCCAGGGCACTCATTTATTTAAAGCTACCCACAGGTAAAAATGGGGTGTCACAAAGAAACCTCCAAGTTCTGCGTCAGTTCCTCAGCATGTGGACTTCACTGTAGTCAAAAATCCATGCTGCACTGCTAAGGAGACAGCAAACGTGATTTTTGTTTGTTGATATGTATTACATATTACATACCTCAACATTGTAAGAAGTATTGCAGAGAGACCCTGCCAAAGCACGTATTTCTGTCTGACTCCCACAGGTGTATAGGGATCCTGGGCAGTCTGATCCCATTTCCAGGAAAGCATTACTGGGAGGTGGAAGTTGAGGAAGATACAGAGTACAGAATCGGTGTGGCTTTTGAAAACACTCCAAGACATGCTTATCTGGGGGCAAACAACTCATCCTGGTGCATGAGGCATATCATCACACCATCAAGGTAAGGGCTGTGGAGGCTACAGGTCTCCTGCAGGAACACCTCCTACACACACACCTGCAAACAGAGCAGCAGAGAGCTCCTACTTGCAGGGAGCAGCCACAGATTTTGTACCAAGGCCCAGACCAAGCACTTAACCAGCGGCTTGTGACATTCCATCATTGGCAACGTGAACTGGTGTTGGAAGGATTCTGGAACCTTTAAGCAAATCCTCCTGCTTAATGACATTCTCATATAGAAATAGGCAGAGTCATGAACAAACCTGAATAAAATCTACATTCAAGAAATTAGCTGTAAAGGCCTTGGTTTAGGTCACCAAAACCACAGTGGGAAGACAAGAGAGTACTAGATCCATGTAACCTAGAAATTATGTATCTGGCTAAACCCAAGCTGTACACAGCTGGTTTTCATAGAATCATAGAATGGCCTAGGCTGGAAGGGACCTTAGAGATCATCCAGCCCAACCTCCCTGTCATGGGCAGGGACACCTCTCAACTAGCTCAGGCTACTCAAGGCTCTGTCCAACTTGGCCTTGAACACCTCCAGGGAGGGGGCAGCCACAACATCTCTGGGCAATTTATGCCAAAGTCTTGCCTCCCTCATACTGAAGAATTTCTTCCTAAGGTCCAATCTAAATCTATTCTCCTTCAACTTAACCCATTTCCCCTTTTTTTTTTCATCTGTTACCTATGGAAGTACCAAACAGCTGTATCTGCATGCAGAAATGCCCTTATGTCTCAGCTGAACCTGATGGCTCTATCTCTGACACCATGACATTAGCATCACTGCCTTTGACTCCCACATGAGATACGGGCACTTTGTGAAGCACGCAGGAGCAAGAGAACAAGTCACACCCCCAGGCATCCCCAAGTATTGCCTACTGCCTCCCTGAACGGCTCACTGCTTAGTCTGCTCAAGTGGCCAGGGCGCTGCTGGGTGCCCTTGCACAGGGACTCCCAACACCACCTGGGTGTCCCCACCACGCACTGTCACTAAACAGTAATGATGGCACAGCACAGCCCCAAATCCGCCTGTCCTCTGCCTGCCGGCACACAGGCAGGTGTGAGATGCAGCTCTGCTGGCTGGAGCACATGCTTGTCCCCAGGCACCTGCTGCACAGCCAGAGTCCTTCGCAGGGCTGGCATTTGCCTCCCGCACAGCAAGAAATGCTGCTTAATGAGGGAGCCCAAACCCACTAAAGCTAATGATTCTCCCATATGCTGTGAGCAAATTAGATTTCCTTGGTATGTTGAGTTAAGAGGTATATTGAGGTTTGTTCTCACTCTTCTGGAGCAATGAGCATGGTCTTCCAGGAGAAAAGGGAACTAGGCCACTGACAGCTGGAGTCACTGTCATACTTATTTCTGCAGGGAAATCTCAGGTTTGAGTGGTGTGGGTGAAGGAGGTGGTTAGTGAAGAAGCCAGCCCTTATGAAATGCCAGACAACTCAGTTAGCTGAACAAATCTTGGTTTTGCTCAGAAAGGCATGTGTTCCCATGAAAATCTCGTATTTTTATTGCAGCATACCACACTAGTTAAAACACCTCAGTGTTACTCAAACAGTGACTACAGGGTGAAGGAGAGGGCTATCCTCATGGCAAAGCTGCTTATGTACAGAGAACCTTCCTGGCCTCCAGGAATCACAATTAGAAGATGCCACGCTCTGGTAAATTAGCATGAAGACTGGAACTTCCCCATCAACACTGCCCTGGCTGAACAGGGAGGTCTTGTAGGAAAAGCAGTCATAAAAGTTATTCAGAGTGGGGTTTGAAAAATGATGTCCAGCAGTTTGGAGGACACGTAGCCACACTGCAAGTCAGGCAGCCTCTGCCCAAGGGATTACGCTCCCTTGCTGCTGCTGTGAAGGTGGGTGTGAGCCATTTCCCTAATGCTGGCAAGAAAGAGGGCTCAGCACCGCAGGCCCTCAGGGAGCAAGTGGGTAGCACAGCAGGGCCTGAAAGGATGAGATTGAGTCATCTTGCCAACTCCCTCCTCTGCAGTGCCTACGGCTACCTAGGGGCAAGGCTGAGAAGACTAGTGCTGTTCTGGGCAAGCCTAAGTGGCCCAGCAGAGCAGAGCTCCTTCATGGAGAAAGGGACAACTTCAGGCCAAACCTAAGGGCAAGTGTGCTCTGACCTCATCCACATCTAAGGGCTACTACCCACCCACTCACAGCCAGAGGGGGATGTGAAACAAGAGGGAGGGCTGCCACACAGGTTAGACAGGCAGGTCTGTGCAGGGCGGGATAAGGCTGTGGCAGCGCAGAGCACACCGCTCCTTGGCAAACACCGCCATCACTCAGCAAAGTGGACAGCACAGGGGCAAGAACCACAGGGGACACACAAGAGAGACAGGACTCTGAAGCAGGAAGCATACCCTGGAACACACCTACGTGCACTAAGCACTTCCCTTTGAGAGCAGCCAGAGTGCCCCCAGGTTTTTTGTCTGTTTCTTGCTTACAGGCACAAGTATGAATTCCTGCACAGTGGGATGACACCGGACATCAGAATTACTCTGCCCCCTCGAAGGATTGGCATCCTGCTGCACTACGAGAACTGCCGACTGTCATTTTTCAATGCAGATATTGCCCAGCACCTTTACACATTCAACTCACACTTCCAGCATTACGTCCACCCCTGCTTTGCTTTGGAAACACCTGGTATCTTACGGATACATAGTGGAATTGCAGTACCCCCGTGGGCTGCTCTCCCATAACCTGTGTTCTGCAGCTACCACATCGTTGTGCAACCTGCATTGAGTAACACTCTCTTTCAGCATTAACTGCTCCATCATGCTCCCTATAAACCAGCTCTCTCTCAAAACAACCGTGACCCAAACCAGCTGCCATGCCTGAGTCGTTGCAACAGTTTCTGTCCTCTTAGGCAGCATCTTAGAAGAAAACCATTATGGACACGAGACCAATCAGCATCCCACAACTCTCCGGTTTAAAGCAGACACCATCCTTCTCAGAGATGACAATGTCACTTAGTAGCAGTGGCAGCTGGATCACTGGTTTCCCCAGTACATATCTGATGCCTATGGAACTCCCCTGTAGCAGAACAATCACTAACTCCACTCCCATGTCTGCTGAATAGCTAAAATTTCAAAGAAAACCAAAACCAGCTGCTAGACAGCTGAGAAAACTCCAACCATGAAGTTGATCTCACAATCAAGTATTCTTGTTGCTACACAAAGCCCGTGACACAAGATAATCAAATACAACTCCCTTGTGTGTGAATTGTTAGCACCTACTATACACAGTGAAGCTTTCTGAAATACCCAAGCATGCACTACACTCTGAAGTATTAAAAGACATTTTTACAGAATGCTCATGCTTCTCAGTCATTCATCCAAGGAAAAAACAGAAACCTGAGGCTTTTTGCAGTGCTTGATTGTCCCTATACAGAAACAAGGCATAATTCTTGGCTTGCTCTTTCTGGCCACACTCACCTCTACTTGAGTATATCCTCCACACTCACAGATCCGTTCTCACCCCCAGCACTGAAGAACTGTCACCCCTGATGCTGTGCCCTTGAACCTCTGGGTGCCCAGCAGGGTCTGGAAGTACTCTGGCCCAGCACTCAGCTGAAACGTCCTTGTGTAGGCTTCATTTCCAGACACCAGACAATCAAGACAGACACTGCCTGTCAAGCAGTTCTGTCTAGCTCTGAACAGCCTCATTCGTGTAGTCAAAACTACCTGAATTCAATCAAGAGTCATTAACAGAGAAGCTTTTCCAGAGATTTATTATTGCACAGTCGTTACAAAAATCATTGGTTCAAGTTTCCATTCTAGCAGATAGGCAGAATCAGGCAGTGGCCTCTACAGATAACCAGCCTGGCAAAACTGAAGAGATTTAACATAGAACTGTGTCCAAAAAGCTGGTGTGTTCTTCCCCAAAGAGCTTGAAGTCTCCCCTAAACCAGCTTTGCAGAAAACATAAAAACAGGAGATGAATATGCCACTGCAGCAATGATTAGTACCATCTTCTCTTGACTATCTGTTCTGCAAGCCTCAAAAGACAATGGGTTTAGCCACGCTGAGCTATTTAAGCACAGTACATTTCTGTACTACCCCAAATTCAGGTATTTCCAGGGCAGAAAGGGTCTTTGCTTAAAAATGTATGCCTTGATTCAGAGTTTAGCTTCCACCCCAGGAACATATTTTACCTTTATCTGCCAAAAAGAGCCACACTCTTCTTTCCAAGTAGATGTCTGAAAAAGTAGAACACATAAGAAACAGAGCAGAGGTATAAGAATATCTGAACTTCACAATAAAGCCTTGAATGCAGAACGACTGCCGGTGAACCCAACGATTCTGATGAAAGCAGATGTTTTGTTGTGAACAGCCCCACTGCTCCCCACAAACAACTTACCATACCTCTATCCTGGCTCACTGCTGAACTAGATCATATGAAAGGACAAGTCAGTTAAAAACAAGCTGTCCTTGTCTGACAGTTGAGCTACATGCTGCAAGACGCATTTTTCCTAGCACTTGTTGGCATTTTTCTTCTTGTTCCTTTTCACTACGTCCACTTATTGGCTCACAGCAAAATTCATATTCTGTGAAGGACAGGAGCTCAGGCCTAAAGCTCCACTATTGGCCACCCGACCCCCACAATCTGCCCAGATCTGCAGCACTGATCCACACATCCCTGCACAGCTTCCAGCAGTAGGAACTGCCAAAGGACGGGATACCCTAAGCCACACCTCACCCAGCAGCTGAGAACTTTGCCACGGCTGCCCAAAGGCTCTTGGGCTTAGAAGGAATTACCCTCAAACTCCTTTAGGGTGGGCAAGAAAAGGACCCCTTTTTCCAATTCCCTCCTGTTCCCTCTCGATTTAAAATCGGTACACGTCGTTGCCACTGGAGGGCATCACACGAAGCCCTTCCACAATACTGCAGGGGTGATACAGATTTCACCAACCTCTAAGGCTACACAAGTTAAGAGTTTCCAAATCCTTCAGGACCTCCAGCATCCATCCTCACTCAGGCCTGGGGCCGGGAACAAAGGCACCGGGAAGTAGGATCGCAGGCACCCACTGGCCTGTTAACAAAAACACAAAAGTAAGAGAGTGTCAAAGGCACAAACACCGGAACAGGCAACACAACAGCCCTCAAATACAGTTTAGCATGCTGGATTCAAACCTACCGCCTTCTACAGAAACACCTGACTCTAACTTGCTCCTCCAAATGCCATTAAAACCTTGTAGGTTGACGAAGTAGGTCCTGGCTTTATCTCACAGGCAGGCCTTGCTCTTCCACCATTTAATTTAGGAGGATAGTATCAGTGGAGTCAATATCATGTCACTGGCTCCACTTTCTTGGTCCTCCAGATGAACGTCTGCGAGATCTTCCTGCTAAGTCTCAGGAACAGCCTGTGCTCTCCCGAGGC